CATTTGCTTGCAATTTTAGACACGACCCTCCCATTCTAGAGTCTCCATGCTCTTGTGAGTTTTCTGCATCTGGTATATAGTAAACATTCAGTAATTTTCTGAATGAATTTCTGCCCTAGAAATCTCTTTATACCTTTCTTCACCAGACAAGCTCGATTCAGATGCATCTCCTTCAGGAAGTCTGCCATGAAACAAACACCATTTGGGCTCAAATTTTTCTGTATAGCATCCTGTAGACACACGCCTCTTGGCATGGTGATATTAAAACTATCACTGTGTCTTTCTTCCTCTCTTAAACCATTAGCTCTTTTGAGGAGGAGTCAGGTTTAAGTCATATATGCATCCCAATGCCTGACACATGGTAGGTGCTCGATAAATGCGTCCTTCTTAAATATGGTCAGTTAATTGCCCCAGGCTGGAGGTTCAAATCCCAAATGCCCCCCCCCAAAAAAATCCCAACTGCCTCCCAAGCCCCAAAGCCCTACCCAGAAGGTTCAGCAAGTCAACACCCAGCCAAACCCACTTCCCCTTTCTTCTCTGGATCAAATCGTGGTTCCCTGGCCCAGCTTCAAGCCATTGGCTGAAAACAGAGGAAACTGGAGAACAGGGAGTTTCTGGAAATTTTGTGCTTCTGGACATTGGTACCCATCTTCATTGGAATGTGGTGGCCTGGGACAAGAGTCAGCCAATGTCACACCTCATTAGAGAAAAAAAAAATGTCAGGAATATAATGAAAGGGGGTCCTATAGACCTAGGAATCAAGGCACCATCTTCTGGTGACCAGCCCACAGAGGCTGCACAACTTTGATTTTTGTCTCACTCAGAGGTTAGTGTAAACAAGGAGGCAGGAATGATGCATTCCCCTAGTTCTTTCCTGTGGTTTTGTATGGTTTCTGTGGTTCCTGTCTCTAGTGGCTAATTTGGCTCCACTGGGGTAGCCTACCGGTTAGAAGGAACCAAGCAGCTGTCATTCCACTAGTCATCCAAGGGCAGACAGTGTCCTCTGATCCAGGGTCAGAGATGGGGGAGGGTAAGCCTGGTTTACACTGGACACTCAGAAACAGGGGTGCTGGTTCTAGACAGGTTCAAGGAGAATTGTATTCATGGCTAGCATGCCTCTGCCAAGTCCACAATGAGGGCTCTCCCACGCGAGGTAGGAACCTCTGGGATAGTGGGGTTATCAGGATGGTCACCGTCTTGCTTTGTCCCCTGCACACGTCCTGCTTGGCAGGGGTGTTTCCCTCCTGGACAGAGGTCGTAGGTTGTTCCATCCCATGGTCTTTGAGCAGGGTGTTACACCAGACTCAGGTCTTTTCTCTTGCTCCACTGACGCTCAGTTGGTTCTGACTCACAGGCAGAGGGTGGATAAACAAAAGAACTCATTACCTTCAGAAAGAAGGCAATGTGACATGATAGCAGATGCTGGCAAATTAATGGTCCCCCAAGTACCTAAAAATCCCCTCAGAGGGTCCCTATCTGATATTCAAGGCCTCAAACTACTTTCTCACTGCTTAATATTCCCCAGATCTGTCCCACTGAGTCACTTTCTCTCAGTCTACCATCTTATACTATTAATTATAATGTCCCTTGCTAGGTTTTGCTTTCCTAATTCTATTTTCTAGAGGGCAAGGATACATTTCCATTACCCGTGGCAGTGGCACCGTTTGGGCACAAAGTGGGGACTAGACATGTAGCATGTGTCTGAAACTCCAAGTCACTCACCGACAGGTGACCACGGCCACATCTCCTCCTGCCTCCTTCCGTTTAAGTGTCACATTTTGGCTATGGGAGATCTGAGACAACTCGTTTCAGCTTCTGGGCATCAGATTTTACCCTCTTTGTGAGCATTTACTAAGAATTCCAAACAGATCAGTGTCAGAGAGAGAGAGTTTGAGGTGGGGCGTGTGGGGGAGACTCTTTCAGGACAAAGTGTGGACCCAGCAGCCGTATTACCCAGCCTGCCCTCACCCCGCGATTCTTGTCTAACCAAGGATTCCGTCCTCATCAGCAACGTGGCTCCCCCTGGGTCTTTGTGTGGAAGAGGGAAAAAGCACTGTAGGTTCAGGACCTGGAGGTGCAGCCTCTTGAGGTGCAGCCTCTTGAGGTGCGAGGAAGGAGAGGAGAGCACAAAGGAATGCAAGAGAACAAAGAGAGAGCAGCAGGATTTGGGGATTGAGTTTTTCCCTCTTTTTTTATTTGGGCTTCTCACAGTGGTTAGAGCCACTCTGTCTTTAGAACAAATCACAGCACAGGAAATGCGTCACTGAGACTGCCCAGAAACGTCTGACCAGCTGAATCTTATTGCTTAAAATACACATATTCACAATAACTGACAAATGGTGACGTGCCTCACACAGGAATGTGTTCGCATTTGCAAATCTTCTGACTATAGCACCAAACCCTCAACCAACCCCTCTCCTGCTCATCCACCTGGAAAACTGCCACAATCCCGTCTCCCTGGGCCCTCTGGGCTATTCTGTCAGCTCCCTGGTTCATCTCTCTCAAAGATGCGTTGACTGTCGCCTCTGTGGCAGGGGCCAGACCGTGACAGCCAGGACCAGGGTCAGTTCCCCCAGTTGCATCTTCTTCTCCTGCCTCGTGAGTAGGACGCTGCAGGGAGCCCAACAGCACTCGGCTCAGTGCTCCACTCAGACCGGGGCAGGAAGCATTGAGAGGGCCAGAATTCATCCATTTGATCAGTTAACTGAAGAAGGATTTATTTTGGTACAACTTGAGCTCCTTTGAGACACTTCAGTGAGTTGTTTGAGGTTTTTCGGGGGGGTGGGGGGAAGAAAAGAAAACAGGGAGGTGAAGGAAAGGCATCTGAGGGCTGCTGACGAACTCTGGCCACATTGCAGCCTGCGTGTGAACCTCAGCAGAGGGAGGTAAGCTCTGTGGCGCTGTGACATGTGCCAAACCGTCCTGGCAAGGTTGGGCAGGGGCTGACATCTGGGCCGCAGCTCGTCCAAGCTTGTCAATGAGGAGCCATCGAACTTTTACTGGAAATTCCGCCTTTGCTTTCTGTCCCAAGTGGGTGTCGGACACCACGTGAGGGGCTTGGTAGTGAGGGCCAGGAGCAAGCGAAGGAGGCAGGTTTGTTCAGAGCACGCTCCCACTGTCAGGAGACAGAACACAGGCCTCCAAGCATCCACGGAGCAATGTGCAAATTGCAGTGATGGGTAGAGTAAAACCTCTACTTTGAGCGCAGTATCTCAGGCAAACACGAGGACTGCTGTTGCCGATGCTGCTGAATACACCCGAGTACACAGTCAGACATTTGCTCAGTAAACAGTAAATGTGTAAAATAAATTACCTTGAGAGGGCCATGTTTGCTCCACGCGTTGTGGTTAACATGAGCAAAATGGCTGCTTCAAAGTATATTCACAGGAAAACAGGGCGGTGGGGCTCACACACAACGGACAGACACACACAGGTTATCCAAAAGGTCACTGTATTCGGACTTCACTTTGTTCAACATGGATTTTGGTTTTGCGGAATCCAAACGTGGACACTTGTTGGCCTCACAGCCTTGGATCTGCCCATTTTTTTTATACATATACATATACATATACATATACATATATGTTTTTGTTTTTCCTTTCTTACCATTATGTCAATGTCTAGAGTATCACTGTTCAAGAGTGGGGGAAGAATCAGACTCTTCCTATCAACAGCCCTGGGCGGGGAATGTTAGTTTTGGCTGTTTGCACTCTCCATGTGGATTATTCCTATCAAAGCTCACTGGTTGTCTGAGACTAACCTACAGTAATGAGGACCCTGTGGTCCTCGAGAATGGCCACTGTCACCCTCCTCCCTGGGCCTCTTAGACTCTTGAAAAAGTGACAGAAAAATCAGTCACTTCATTAAAATATGTGAGGGGAGGGGAGGCACATAAAACCCAGAGATAACAAAGATTATTTATCCTAAGTGGTCAGTTTTTAAAAAAGGAGGGGGAAAAGCCCCAAAACAAAACAAAACCACCCCCACAAACAAACAAACAAAAAAACCTTAAACATTCAAAACCAGAGAGAAAATACTGTGAGAGAGCCAGACTACAGGGCTGCTCACAGCGACCTCAGTCTGTCTGTTCACCAGCAGTGAGAGAGAAGGCCTGCTGCGGTGTGTTTGGGATGGAGGGGGCACTCCATCCACTGCCAAGACTTGGGGTCTCCCATTCACTCACTGCAGCTCCCAAGATCGCCCCATCCTGGACTTCACACAAAACAGCTCCTTGTGACCCAAC